TTCCTCTTCTGTGAGGGGGCACAAATGCGTCATGTGGTCCTTTGCACATTTTAAGCATTTGTGCGGTTCAGTGCAATATGACTGCGCATGCCCATACTTTTGGCAACGGTGACACTGCCCAATGAGTCTGGAGTTCTTCTGAACCTCAACTCGAATGGCCAGTCCCAGCAGTTCGTGTTCGTTGAACACTTGCTGAGACTTTTCAGTCTTGGGCAGTATCACGACCACCAAACGCATGGGCGCGCCGCCGCTGCGCTTCAATCGAATGATGTGAAGAGGGCTATATCCCCTCTGCTCCAGTTCTCCCTTAATCTCAGTATCCGAAAAGTTGGCGGGAACTCCTCGAACCACCGCATGGATGTTCCGTTCCGAAGGGAGAGGAGAAGTGTGATGGGGCACTTCTTCCTCTCGGAATAGGCGAACGATCTTACGGTAGTCGTCCTCGGATTTAGGAATAATCCTAATTCCCGCATCGACGCCAACCGCGCGATCTATTTTAATACCTAGAGAAATAAACTTGAAATTTAAAGTACGCCATCTCGTCCCGTCGCGTAAGACGATCGGGGTTATGCGCCCTTGTCGTGAGGGATGTGTTGATGCCACGACGGTTGGACGAGATGACGGAGGAGAAGTAACATCGGCTGACGGAGTCACCTGACAGGTAGATAACGTGGTCCCTGGCTTGGTAATAGAAGCATTAATAGTGTTTCGATTTGATGAATTGTGGGAGGTGTGAAATGGAATTGATCCTGTATTCGGAAGAGGAGGAAAGTCTTGGGTTGATCGATCAGCCTTGTCGCCTTTCCTCCTTCTTGATTTTGCTTTTACAAATCCTTCAGTCTGTACGTCTTCGTCTGTGGATGTGAGATGATCATCAGTAACGTTTCTCAGTGGTCTTTTTAGGGTCTTTGTCCGTTCTTTAGGGGATTCTTTTGAGTTTAGTAATATGGTTACCTGGGCGGTAAGGCTGTCAATTTTGGCTGTCTGGTCCTTGATGGTCTCCATTAGGTCTCGAATCTGCCTCGCCTGGTCGTCTATAATCAGCATCAGTTTTTCGATCGTTTTCTGCTCCGATGACATCTGCGTCAGTGAGCTCATGTTTTCTGCTTCTGCTTGGTTTCCGCCACCGCTCAGCTCTTTCCTCATAGTATGTGGAACTGGGTCGTCTGTTGATCCTCCTGGGTCAACTTCCATCTTTTAAAAAATTTTTTCTCGCCAACAAATCTCAGAAAACTCATAGATCGCAAATGTGACAATGTTGTCAAAACCCTTTTTACAGGGCGTTTTTTATAAAGTTTGATGTTACATCATACGAGTACATCAAGTGCCAGTGTTATAAGTTACTATAAAACCTTAAACGCTATGCCCAAGCTGTAAATCATACCAAATAAGGGTTACGTAAAGGTATATAGGAGGATGGCTTGAAATAGTGCAGCTACATGTGCTTCTAGGAAGAAGGTCTATGACAAGAATACTTAAGGTACACTTCTTCAGGGTCCTACAGGGTCCGTAGTCAGAGTACCGTGGTTTTGGGGTCAACGCAACACATGAAAATGCAGGATTTAGTGAAGTGCTAAGAAGGTGAAGCAGTATCAAGAAATTCGTATCATATGAAACAATTCTCGGAGAACCAAAGTAAAAAAATAGAATGTCTAGAAAAACTACATTTGAGCCATTATATAAGAAAAGTGACGAGTACATACATGCAACTTATTATTCTAAAATCAAGATTTTCCGTTGCACCAGATTTAGTCATGGATCTAAATCACTCTGATACTGAGTGTTCCAAGTGTTGGCTTGACTCCTATACATATTTACGCAATATGGAGGAGTTTTCACGATACTGTCGAGAAACTCGTAATTTTCCATGATTCGTAGTAGCAGAATGAAACTCGCAACACAAAAGCGTGAACCCAAAACAAAGCTACTGTTTCATTTTAATAATAATCATGCAATCCGATATTTATTGACCTTGCAGCCAGGAAGTCAATAATCATTCATCTATTCGTCGTTCTCTGTCAGAGCGGTCCTTAGGACCCTTGGTCTCGGTTAAAGTCTGGTTTCCAAACACCAGAAAAAGTCAGGGAGAAAGAAAGGAAGGAAGGATGGAGAACAAAGAAGAAAGAAGTGTGTCAACTTGAGGAGTGCCTTGGCATTGCTAACTAATATTCAGGAATCTTAAGTTGATCCTAAAATGAATATAGAAATCGGTTGTAGTTAATAATTTTGGTTGGACCTAAAGTCACACGATTTAATTATTCACGGTGCTTGTCGCAGCTCTGTGTTCTTGCGAACTTGCTCGACTGTGTAGTCTACTAACTTGCGCAACAAAGGTTGCGTTAGTGGGGCGTTAGTGATTGTACGCAAGGTTCAAAGCTTTCAGACTACGCAGGCGCGTATTGGCGAGAAAACACCAATCCGCACTTGCGTAAGTGATTTCTGGTCTCATAACCATCTTGTATAGCCGAATTTTGTCGATCAAACTTAATTTTGAAGTTCTAAATAGCATAGGGTAGAGTTGTCAAAACGTGATTGGGAATTTAGTTTATATCGCTTCAGTCTGCTTCTGCCAGATCATCCCCTTGTCAAGAGTGACACCGAGATACTTAGCAGAACATTCCCTTTGTAGCCGAGCTCCGTTCACTGGATCCTCAGGCGGAGCGCCGCTACGTTTTTTAGAATAATAGATAGCCTGCTTTTTCGAATGAATAATCGTTCATGTATAATGAAACAGAAATATAAGGACACAGACGGAATTGATCATGCCAGTTGTAACCAAAATACCTGTGATTGATTTATTTTATCACAAATACATAACTTGACATCTACCAATCACAAATTTTATTATTTTGCACTGTTAAGCAGAACAGATCCATCTGCCGAATGCCGCTAAAGTAGGTGAAGTTAAAACTCCGCCACTTCTCAGTAAAGCACGCCATCTTTTATGCAATTCTTGCATTTTGCATCATCTTGGTATAGCGTGTTCACAAAAAGCAGGCAACCAGTTATTTAGGATTCAGTAAGCAAGGTTATAAATAAAATGATTGACCAGAGGAGTAACAGCTAGATTTTCACAAGAAACGAAATAGACCTGGGGAAAACGGTAACACGTGATGTCGGTCTCATTTATCTCCGTATGTGTATGCTAATAAATAAAACCACATATTATATTGAAGGTCGGTTTCATAGTGTGTTATTAGTGGACCGGGAGTAGTTACTGATGAAGTATGAAAATATGACGTTGTATTGATTAACGTATTTTATCTGGAGTTAGCCTACCATGTTTTGTATTATGGGGTCCAAAAGATTGTCGGAGATGAAATGATATGCTGAGATTGTTTCAGCTAACTTTTGGACACCGGGAAACAGTACTGAGGAAAATTCCGTGAAATTTGAGCTAAATTATTTCTAAGGTGGTGATTTGTAACACGTTGTTTGATATCAGATCGAATATTTTTTTGTAAATATCTTTACATAATTTATCTAAATTCCTATGTTTTCGTTTTTATATCCACGCTGCTGAACTAGATCCACACAAAATCGATTAATACGTCTCTGTTTGCACAACGTTGTTGCAAGCGCCTGCGCAGTTCTCGAAGCGACTTCGTGGCGCTCAGCTCGTTAAATAATTATATAGCGATTATTATTTAGTACCGGATATATTTTGATTTATAGTGATACTTGGCAAAAATAATGTATATATTAAAGTGAAGACCAGAACAAAATGACAGGGCTGCGTGTTAAGACATTGTCTTCATTTTTTTTTGCCTTTTGCAGAAAGCGGTGAATGCAACATGTCGATTAAAATTTAGTTTATGGGCCCCGGCGTATATCTTTTCTCTGCAAATCTTGGTTCGGTATCGGATGAGCCCAGTGAAATGCTCAATCAAGCTTCTGTATATAAACTTAAAAAAAATAACAGAAACTAAATGCTACAATCAACTAAATAGATAGTTCTGATGATTTTTGATGCCCTGAAATGTCCAAGATATACCTCTGAATTAAGACGATTGTGAAGTACAATAGGCCCAATTACTTGATCCCCAATTACTCCTGCCCATAAGTTCAATGAAAATCTATGTTGGAAATTTGTACGGCGAACAACTTTTGGATTTTCATCTTACCAATGATGCATGTTATGGAAATTAAAAGCACCATTCCTAGTAAATATTGACTCATCGGACCATAATATTCTAGGAATAGTGTTTTCATTTGCTAATATCCACAGGCAAAACTCGATGCGTAATAAAAAATCTGCCTCCGTTAAACGCTGCACCCGTTTAAAATGATAAGGCTGTAATCCTTGCATTCTTGTTATTCTTCCTATCTAAAATTATTATTTTTAGGATAACTATCAAATACGTATTCATAAATTTTTCTTACTATTGATCAAGGTATATCCATATTTTCTGAAACATTTCATATGCTTATTTGCGGATTATTTTCAAACATATTTAAACAGATATCCATACGATGATTTTCCAGTGGCCTTCCTGAGCGCTGCATGCGCTGAAAATTTCCATGGTTTGACAAATTCCGGTGAATATCAGTAAACATTCGACGTCCAGGTACTATGCGATTGGGAAATCTTCTTTGATATTCTCTTACGGCTGCCAATGAACTGCCATTGCAAAACCCGTACACAAAATGCATGTCAGTCAGTTCTCTGTCTGTAAATCTTGACATTTTAAATCGATTTAATAAAAATTTTGATTTTAATCTAGTAATTTTACACTGCTAACAATGTCTGTTTAACGTCAAAATAAGTCATAACAAATCAAAACAACTGTTGTTTGCAGTCATGGCTAACTATGAATGATCACAATTCATTTAAATTCGCAGTACATTTCCTATCATGTGACAAATTCTTTAGTTTGATTTTATTCAAAAATGGAACAATTTATCGATATTCAATAAGAGTACCTTTTTTATGTAGAAAACCCTAAATTTTCATATTCTAAAATTGAATTTCAAAAATGGAATCACTCAAAAATTTTGGGGCTAAAATATCCTGAGTCCGTCCCTGTTACATTAAAATGTAAGCTTAAAAGCTCTAGAAACCGCTGGTAGAATATTGCACACTTTTTTCGGGACACCCTGTATATTTGGATACTGGTTTCCCAATCAAATTAATCACTTGAAAGCTTGGTCAAAACCTAATTTCAATATGAAGCTTTTTACAGTGGCATGGCATGCTGAATAGACACTGTCGAGGACAAGCATTTTTCGGTAAGCATAGGGCGTATCGATTTTCATGACAAAGCTGCCAAGAAATTGTCGTACTTCAAATAATCTAACCATGCATTTCCTTATGAAAACTTCAAATATATTACAATACAAAAAATCACAATCATAAATAAGAGGTAAACATTTTCCACGTTGTATACATCGATTTCCATGTCTTCATATTCAGAGCAGCGTCCAGGTCAGCTTAACCTATCCTTTGCGGCGTCCGGTCTTGGTCTTCTTCAGGATGGGCCGCGTTGTACTCCAGAGACCTCAAAATGGCCTCCGGTATGGGCGGAGGCGTCGGAAGGTGAGCACCTTGAGGTTGGAAGCCCAGCTCGTTGGCCACGTACGTTAGGGCGATGTTGGAGCCATCAGGTGCTGTGTATTTGAAGTCACCTGCTGCTTCTAGGAGATCAGCGGCCTTAGGACGGCCCTGTTCGCGAGCTGAGATGCCGTTCTCAGCTTCGTAGCTGAAAGTACAGGGATGGAGTAAGCTCTAAAGTATTCTAGGGAAATACTTTTCAAATTCAAGCAAACTACTTCAATAGGTGCGTTGAGTAGAGTGTATTAAGTTTCAAGTTTTGGTTGGATTCGAGGCTTGTAATTGATCAGAACGTATGACGTTCCGTTTTGTGGAGAAACTCGCTCAATTAAAGCGAATGTATGTATAGTCTAACCATATTAGAACATTTTCCTGAAATAATTGTAAAGTCTGGTTTTATTGGTGCAAGTTGTTCATGGATGTATGTAAAACATTGACGCATAAAATGGGCACCCCAATTTTTGTGGGAAAACATGTTTATTTGACAACAAAGAATGAAAAAACGTGTTTTTTGGGATTCTATCTAAATTTTTGACAGGAAGGAAAGAACTTTCTATACAAGATTTTTAGGTTTTTATGAGACCTACAAAATAAGACCACACGTAAAAAGGTCCGACTAATAGCTAAAATGTTATGGCCGAAAAACGAGGCAAAATGCAGGTTTTGGCACTTGTTGATAATTCGACGATAATTTCACGCAAGTACTTGAAATTCTTCAAATCTGTAGGATTCATACTTCTAAATAACAACAACAAAATTGAATGAGCAATATACAGGGTTCGTTCAAAGAGCATTTAATAGCAAAATACACATGCTTACCTTGCCGAATCACAAACCATTCCGAAAGATAAATGTTATTTTTATGGGAAAAACAAAGGTTACGTATTTTTCTTCTATACAAATTCAAACATTTTGGATCTGTCTATCATCTTTTGTTGCGAATCACTCACAAATACGAAATGTCTGAATTTGTTTAGAAGAAAAACCGTAACCCATCCTTTTTTGCATAAAAATAACATTTATCTTCCGGAATGGTTTGTGATTTATAACGGCAAGGTAAACTAGTGTATTATGCTATAAAATGCTCTTTGAGCTAACCCTGTATATTGCTCAATAAACTAGTAGTGATGACCGGAAAACAGGTGTTTTAGAATAAGCAATTAGAAATTCTTAAAAACTGCTTGACCAATCTACTCCAATTTTGTTGAGGTTATTTAGAAGTGCGAATTCTACGAAGTTGAAGAATTTCAAATATCTGCGAGAAGCCATCGTTGTATTACCAACAAGTTCAAAAACCTGCAGTTTACCTCGGTTTTCGGCAATAACTTTTTTGGTATTAGCTAGATCTTTTTACGTGTGGTCTCATTTTGTAGGTCTCATAAAAGCCTAAAAATTTTATAATAAAAGTTTTTTCGTTCCTACCAACACTTTCGATTAAATCCCAAAAAACACGTTTTCTAAGTCTTTTTTGTAGAATAAAAAGTTTTCCCACAAAAATTGGTGTACCCATATTTCGGATACCCTCATGAATAACTTGCAGCAATAAAACCAGACTTTACAATTATTTCACAAACCAGGGGCATTTTCATCTAATATGATTACACTAGAACTGGAAAGTTCTTCGGAGTACGATTTTCTGTATTATGGTTATACAGGTATATATATATATAAAGAGAAAATTATCATGCGGAGAAAGGTATATAACATTATTTTCCTATTTTTATATATATATATATATATATATACAATACAATAGAATTAGGAAATTTTCGTAATCATGAAATTGCACACAAGCATGGTATATGTTGGATGCACGCGTTCAACTCCATACCATTGAATAAACCTTATAACTATGCCACTGTACAGACATACACGTTGTAGACCCGCTGCTGGTGCTCCCCAATGCTTTTAGGACTTCATCTGAACGAGAAAGATAGGGGAATAGCCCTACTCTGTGTCCACCCACCTCCCCTCACGAGCACGCGTACTAGCTCGACATGTAGGACGGATATCTATTACGTCCCACGTGTAACTTCCGGTGGTGGCATTACCGGGTGTGCCAAAACTATATACCAGCTTGTTTATTTTAAATGGAACATCATATGTATCACTCAATTTTTAGATTCTATGCAATATTCTCACCATATTTCATACAAAACATATAACTAACTGTTTTGTATTTGCATTTGATCTGTTTCTTCCCTTTACTTTGGAATTTGCCATTTGTAGCGGATCCTTCCAGACGTACTTTAGTAGGTATTATCCAATGTTTAGAAAACAGGTGATGGGAATATTAGCTTTCTCATGCGAAAATTTTTCATACAGCAGCTATTATCAGATAGATATAATCAAAATCACGAAAGATGACTATTACGTCACACCATTAATTGTGAAATCACGATATCAGGAACATAATGACAAATTTATATTATGATTTTGCGAAGTTAGGTTATTTCACTGATTTTTTTATTTTAATTTTATTTCATGATTTTGAGTGATACCGTAATAATAATTTTAGTGGGGAGTTCTGGTTTTGAAAAGAAAACAGTTATGAGTGAATACATTAAGACAGGAACACCAAAGACCAAAGTATTATTCGAAAATAGCCTAACCTGCTTTAACATAACCTAACTATTCATCTTTCAAATATGATCGATCATGCAACATGAAAACATCGTCTATCTTTGTCTGATACATGCAAATTAGCAATACAGTTTCTTTAGACAGTAAAATTCTGTTTGTCTCCGTCTAACATATCTGAAACTTCATTAAAAATATTCACAAATCGCTGTCGTCTGTCTTTACTACAGACTAAAATGATGACGTAATCGTCATCTTTCGTGATTTTGACTATAGTCTCAGTTGGCTACCCAGCGATCTTCCAAGGATATGACGCTCTTACCGCGTCATGGCCAACTGCGAGTAACGGATTTTGTGGAGCATTTTACCGATAGTGATACCAATATTTCCATGTACGAAAACTACTAATTTGCGGTAAAAATCAACCGAACATTTTATCAGTATTATCAATGAGTATTGCGATGATATGAAGCTAATACTTCCTTTTTTATATTTTTTATTGGAGTATGGAATACAATCTACTTAACTAGGTCCCCTACTACAAGGAAACCGTTACATAATGTATGCCGGAGACAAAAAGGGAAACAGCAAGCAAAATTTATCAGAGTGCATTTGTGATTTTTTACGCAAGGCTTGAGATATCTCAAAGATGGTATAATATGTTATGCGCCAAATGTGTTTAGAATCTTGTTTAGAATAAAAAGAATGAATTTGAGAATATATCATCCCAGTTGCTCCTATCAGTTTCACTAAACCAAGATAATCCAAAATTTCATAATTTCCTAATGTGATCGTTGTGAGACATGTATAATTAAATTATATAAACTTTATAGAAACTCCTCCACTGCGAACCTTGCCAGTCATTTTTTCTTTGTATATGGAACTTTCCCAACAGAAAAGCTCTCCATGCATTGATTGTTTATCAACTGTCCAGTTTCAAAATTACCCTGTTAGTATATAGGCTATTCTATTAAGCAGATCAGTGGCGTAGCAATACTGGTGCTGGGGTATAATATTTCAGGCCAAAATACTTTGGACTTCAATATTTTTTGAAGAAATGTTGTTAACTATATCTGGTACCTATGTCAATCTAATATCCATGCCTATTCCATTTGTTCTTCCTTGAAATGGAGCAAGGCGATACGGCGAGGTTATGGGAAGCATGGAAGATCACAATCAACCATCAAAATACATTGTTTCAATATCCATCAATCAAGTACTAGCTTGACAAATCCATTAACGTTCTTTATTGTTGATTACATTCTGTATTTGATGTCAAATCGCTCGGTACCATCTGTAAATTTTATTAGTTATTGATTGTTAGACCTCAATGCTAAATATAGATATTAATTTAATGCAATAACGGAGTTGTTTACTGCAGTTTTACCTTCTGTTTATTCTGCCCAACCCCTTTCTGTAATACTTAAATCGTTTATGCAATAGGACATAAAGCATCATTTTAAGCTGTTTCGCCCAATGCATAATCTTGTCATGATAATATTCTAATTTGATGTCAAACATGTTCTTTGATTGCATCGTGTTGCGTTTAAATAATGTGCAATTCAAGGCTTTCACGTTTCATGTCGTACGTGGCCTGGCGTTCTTCAGAAACTTTGAGCCAGTAAATCCAATATGTCAGGGTACGAAATTTGAAAAAAAATATATAGCTACCCTTTACAAGAGACCTATATTCCTGGATATAAACCTGAATTCCTGTTGTCTTAGGACAGAAAATACAGAACACTGGACTAGACTGAAAGATCACCATGCCCTCACTTGTAAAGCTACAAAACTGTCACTTTGTTCAGAAGCGAACCTCACTATTTTCTTCCACATTTCAGTAATATTCATTAACACGCCAGCCTCTGAAAGGTATTGCAGCCCGGACCGCCAGACCTTGGTTATTTTATAAAACCTGATAGTTTCTCTGTATAAGTCCCCAACACAAATAAGAACCATCAGCGACTATGAAATTTGGATACTGGTTACTCTGGCAAGTAATAGGTAGCAAAGGTAAAACAGCACCTTAAATTCGTTAAAATGCAAAGTCCAGTTTTTTTATACTTCCTTCAGAATTATATTAGAAATGGCGTTATCCACAGTTACACTTCTTCAATCCCCCACCAGACACCGCTAAACTTTAATGAATTAGAGTTAAACTAAAGATGGAATTTAAATATTTCAGTTTTGATGGTTTTTACTTTTTACATTGTCCCAGACACATTGCAAGTCTAACGTGGGTGGCCAAGGAGGCAATATATACCCAAGCAGATGTGAGTGAGATAGTGAGCTTGATCTACTGCGATCTTTTGCTAAGGATCTTTGATTTTCTCAGAATTGTATGTTGAACAATCGATGTCCTGATCAGTTGCCGTGCGCTGCGCTGGTTCGAATCCCGTCCCAAGGCTCTAGGCTATGGATGTTGTGATTGTCCGTGGGTGGTAGACGGTCTCTGACTGTCGAACGCGGAGGTACTACCCGGCGGATCTCGTAGGCGGGGCCAGAATGTGTGCATGTTGAATGAAGAGCTGCATGCTAAAGCATCGCCCCCTTGTGACACTTGAAGAGATGGGGTGGATTACGTCTGGGGGAGGGGGGGGAGGTTTCACACGTCTCACGATTCAGGTCTAGCAAAGTAATTTTTACACCAAGACATAGCGAGTGTTTCTAAAAAAAATGACTGACTGAGGCATCTAGGAGGGGGGAGTGAGGCTCGGCCCCTCTAAATCCACCCTTGACAGTATTGTTTACACTAAGAAATTCAATGAAAAAGATAATTTTCTGTTCATAGCCATATTATATAGAGCAACAAATATTCTTATATTATTACAATACTTCCTCGCTTGTGACATTGAGAGTGAAACATCATTCTACCTAAACAATTTTGTTCAAGTCTAGGGGTGCGGTATCCGGTAGGAACTGGCTTGGCATTTAGAGGACCTAAATTCTTAAGATCGCATGTCTCCTGTTTTTAACTGCCTTTTTGGAGCAGTATTCTAAATTATTTTTATCTGCTTATTGCATTCTACAATCGTAACTTGTTAACAAATATTAATACAGCTCCGAAATTGTATGTTACAATTCCAATTTTATAGTAGCCTTGAGCGATTGATTGCTTATATTCTTATTGCTTTTTGTTCATTTACTGCAAAATAAGGTTTCAAGAAAATCAAAGGTTTCGCATCAAAGATTTTTTGAAGAAGGGAAGTGCAACTTTGGGCCAGTCTGAAAATTGCTAATGTTGCTAAGCCAGCTGGTAGGAATGATGATAATAACCTGTTTCATATCGTATACCGAATCTACCATATGCTGTAGTAGGGTTAGAAGTACCCAGCTTGGAAGTCCTATATCTGGAAAACTATTAATTGGTAAACTGTCGGTCCATGGACACCTTTGTCCTACGTGTTGACATATGCAACTCACTAAATTTGAAAAAAAATCCGAAAACCATTTCCCATAAGCTTTCTGGAGGTTCCCGCTGTGGTAATACCTTTGAACTTTTGTGTCATATGTTCTTCAAACATTTCTATGAATTTGTTTGTAGTAAAAATTAAAATAATACGATATAAGTTCTCCATGAGCGTTCATGCAGCTATCTCAGGAAATAAAGGACGAATTTCATTCAAACTTCGCAAAACATACAAAATACAGAACAATTCGAGGTAGGTATTCCGAAAAATTGTAAACAAGCTCAACTTTCATTTAGATAGACAGGCACGGTGTTTCAGTTTATTGTTGCATAACTTTAAGATTCGATAGAACTTTTAAAATTAATGCATAAAGTCTATATAAACATGGGTCGAAAAATGCGTGGCTTCCGAAATACAGAATCAGGAATGCATGTGATGAAATAAGGCCTTATTTGAATAATGCTATACGACGTTCGATCATTCGTAGATGTGAATTGTGTATTGGACAATTGGGTTTACATTTCGAGCAACTACTTTAGATTTTGTATGTTTGTCCTAACTATCCAATAGCATTTTAGTTGTAAATAATTAATTTAATTTGTTATACATAATATTGGATAATTAAGCAAATTAATATTCTGTTTTTTTGTGTTTATTTGGAGTTAGGAATTATTGCTGTGTTTAAAAACACAATCTAAACGATCATCTTAATTACTTGTAATGCCCAAATCGAAAATGTAAAAAAATATTATTTTCCCATAAATAATTAAAAATGCATCGAACCCTAAAAACGAAATATCTCAAAAACGGCTAAATATAACGAAAATTCACAAGAAAAAGCAAAAAATTGCACTAAGAAAAAATTTCCGGTCATTTCAATCCACTACAGGTACAGTAGAGAGCGCCCTCTAGCGGCTACACTAAAACTATGCCCATGGTTCCTTTTGTCGTACCACAAAACCCATGTATACCAATTTTTACTGTTATACATCAAATATTGTTCGAAATATTTAAAAAAAAAACTATTTTAGAAAGTAAATTTAAACACCATGTATTTCGGAAGCCACGCATTTTTCGACCCATGTTTATATAGACTTTATGCATTAATTTTAAAAGATCTATCGAATCTTAAAGTTATGCAACAATAAACTGAAACACCCTATAGATCTTTTCAAACACATACCTCCATGAGTAAGATCCATCTGGATTAGGTCCTTCCTGCGTTTGACTTATTATCCTTATGACCTGCCCCGGTGAAGCAACTGCGCCCGGTCTGTATTGTCCTAAGGCACATCCTGCTATCGTTAGAATGAGTATCTGCAAAATAAGGAGATCGTGATAAGAACTGAATCAATTACGGCAATTTGCAACTCATTGCCTGCAACCATGCATGGTATTCGTTTTGACATTTTCTAGATGAAGTTAACGTGGTAATTGCTCGAGTAAAGTGATAATTATATGCAATTGAGCTGATCAAACTATGGTAATTTCTAATTCCAAATTAATCACTTCACTTCCATTTTAACATATGATGAATGTGCGCATAAAATGTTCATTCTACCCAAGGGACACGTGTAATGGGATATGTTTTTATACCTCATACAGTATGGTAGTATAGTATATTTATATGCTTCCAAACTCGGTAATTATTCTCATCTATTAGCCATATTTCACACAGCATAGGTTTTCTTTAAAACTTAGAATGTTTTCGATACGAGCTTTCTTTTGTCTGGGCTCGGCGTCCGGCGTAACGGTCTCCCTAATTGGTCTGCACATACTGGGGCGCTGCTTTAGTGGGTGCTGCCTCATCTGACGATTTGGGAAGCAACAACCCGTTAGATGTACGGTAACTACCGGTAGGGTCTATGGACTAACTGTATGGGCTTGTTTGACTGACTTGATCCGTTCTTAACTGACTTTTCCCAGACGGTTGAACTCGTGGTGAGTTTGATACTTTATTATCTGATAGGATTGCGTAGGGAGTGCAGAGCCAGCCAACTGGACGCCACTTTTTTATCAGCAAGAATTCCAACGTAAGCTACCGAATCATTCGTTCAAAATGATTACTTTCAACATTTTTAGGAACATTTTTGCAGGGTCTTTCGTCCTTGGAAAAGTAATAACCTTGTCTAAAAAATTCATCTGGATCCATCCAGTACTATTCAAGTTATAAACGGGCCAAGGCTTAGCGAACAGATTGATAGACAAAGACAGAGACTAGTTTTTATCCAAAATATCGCATTTTAGGAAGTTTGCCGGTTATAATACTTCCTGACCAATAGGGCATGAGAAGTGAATGATAGAATACCTGACACTACAATCTATTTATTTGACCAATTTAAAATATAATGTATCATAATTCAAATAGCGTAAGTGTTAGTAAGAAGGTACACATGAAAGTAAAAAAATAATTGTTAACCCAAGTAACAACAGCAAAAGTGTTCTGAGAGCGCTGCTAGCTGCTATGCTGATATGTCCATGAAGCTATTATTCTTACTTTGAAATACCTATTTCTGACGCACTGACTCGAAGAGGTGTTATGGAAAAATATGACGTAAATCTATCGTAGATCGTATTCAATTATCTCGCGAATACAGTGAAGCAAAACAATTAGCCATAATCACCTACGATTCTGTAATACGAAATAAACAAACAGAACGCCATCTAACAGAAGGGAGAACATTTTCAACTTAACTGGAAGCAGTTCAAACTATAAGTATAATTTTCAATAAGCACATGAATGTTTTTGTATGCAATTCATTTGAGCTCAACGTTCCTTTGCAGCGATATACCACATAATGTCACTTATTTTCAAAATAGCATTACTGTGGCAACATGCAGCTTAACAACTTTTTTCTTTTCGGTAACGGAACAGAGATAAGTGGGAGAGTTTTCTTGCTGATTTTCATCTAAAATAAGGTGTGATGGAATGCAAAATATTTTGGCGGACCAAATATTTTTTTTAGATATGACAAAGCCGTAGTTGATTCAATGATTTTGCAAAATCGGTGCATTGACTGCATGATAATTAGCAAAAATGACGGACTGTCAAGAGAAAAGGTGGATCTAGAAAATACAATTTTGAAATACAATGTAAATAAAGTCATTTTCCACTTAACTGGAGGCGGTACCAACTCTATATTCTTAAATAGGAGCATGCAGTGTTCTTTTGCAACGATATATTATTACATGGTGTCAACCATTTCAAAATAGTACTATGGCGGTTAATACGCAGCTTGTCAATGTTTTTCTTTTCAACTTCAGATCAGTGGTTTAGTGGAGGATTTGATTGTTGTCCACTAACAAATAATATATGAGGGACACTGTTCACCCAAAATTTTTCAGCCACAATCAAACACTTACAAAATTGAATATTACCGAAAATTTCTGATGATCCCAGAAAGAAAAATGTTGTGACCTCGGTATTTCAAGATTATACAAACATCCAGTATTTCCTTAATTACTAATAATCACATCCTTTCTACTAGATTGCAGTTGCAAAGAAACTTTTCTCGTTCATAATACTTCCTTTGCCGGAGTACTCAAATAGTAGGTATTATAATTAATTGAATCAAATCAAAAAGGAGATAGAGAGAAATAAAGTAATGGAAAAAATGCCTCACATTATCAGGTACCCAGCATCCTGCATTTTTGAAAATATCTGCACTCTTCTAAACGAAACTCCCGGTTACTAAAAAAATCAGGCAGTTGCAAATTTGCTAGGGATGACCTCCACTTTCAATAACACCAACAAGCAAAATGGTCGAAATAAACAGAATGGATTTTTGTGACATAGATATAATAGACCATCCAAAAATAGATTAGTTGGAATTCGATTAATCTAACCCACTTGAATAATTTCAGGAAGTTTCTTTGGGTTGGATAATTTACGACGCAGGGTGTTAATAATGTGGCTGAGTCAGGGGTGACTTCATGGGTAAGAAGTAAGGTCTATAGACACATAGGTCGAACAGTTTTTTGTTTGAAACTACAGGATGTCTCAGAGAACGCGAAATAGTTTGCTTACAAATTTTTTCTGATCATAATGAAAATGATCAAACACTTGCAAAATATACAAATACGAAACTGAGTATTTCCGAAAACTCCTGATGGCTCCAGAGAAAAAATGTTATGATACCCAAAATTAATTGTCTGATATGCAAACATTCCTTATTGAGTAAGAATCACATATTTTCAAACAGTTTATCATTATCGTTTCACCGTTACTGAGATTCTCACAGTTGCCCAGTCTCGACTATAATAATTTCATTGCTGGAGCGCTCAAATAATAGGTATTAGACTTATTCAGTTATTCATATCAAGAAGCAAAGCGGGAGAAATAAGGTAATCAGAGGATATGCCTTTCATCGTCAGGTACCTGTCATCCTACATTTTTGAAAATATCTGTCCCGTTCTTGACGAAATTCCTGGTTTAAAAAAAATAAATCCGGAAACTGCGAATTAGCTGGAGATAACCTGCGCTTTCGATAAAAAAACAGAATTTTTTGTGGCGTAGATATAATAGACCATCCAGAAATACATTAGTTGAGATCAATCTAGCATGCTTAAATGATTTCCAAAATTTTCTTTTGGGTTAGATAATTTACAATGCAGTGTGTTAATATTGTATCTGACCAAGCCAAAGGTGATCTCTTGGGTAATAGATAAGGTCTATTGACACATAGGTACAACAGTGATTTGTTTTGAAACTACAGGTTGTCAAACCTTTTTTGAAAATGCATTCTCTTGAACAATCATAATTACCCTTCATCGGATTTTGTTAAAATTGATTTTTGATACAGATGTATATCCAAAAATCTATGAGGATGATCCGTCAAGAAAACACATCATCCCAGACGACTCAAATATCAAATACAGTGATCTAGATGGCCAATAGCAATGAAAATCTGTGGTTTTAGTGTTGAACCATCTTAGTATGTTTTTCTGCTTAACGTCAACATAATCAGCTAAAGGAATATCACGATTTTGTCGAAAAAGAAAAAACAATTTTCAAAAAAGTTTGAGTGCTTATCCCAATCTTTAAAACAAAGCATTACCGGACCTACGTTTATGCGAACTTTATTTTTACAAGCACCCAACGAATCACCCCTGAAGTATAGCCAGGAACATGTTTGTACTTTCAAATGCAGCCTTTCTACTAACCCACATCCATCCAAAGTTCCGTCATACAAAATTTAGGACAAAAATGCATTAAGTTCAACCTAATTTCGAAAAGCTTAAAAAACCGAATAAACGAGGGGTAAATCCAGTCCATCTTCACGAATCACTACACTAGAGTCACACTCACCAGCGGTATCATGTTTCCTATTGACTATATACAGGTGACCGGGATACACCAGAAACAAAAGTGCAACTGCCGGCTAGGCAATTTGATTTATATATGCCGTTCGCAGAGATTCGCCGACTCGAGATGCAATGGGATCCTCCCCAATTCGGATGCATCGCCGGCAGATGCATCAGCGAAAGGTCACCGAGAATGGTGGTTGGATGATGATGAGCGCAGGAGTGGTCACCGGAAAAAAAGAGGAATGTGCAGGTCAAATTGGGAGCATTTTTCATTTTGGTCAAGGTCGGTATGTTTTAATTAGGCTGTAAAACGTTAACCCAGTCCTAGAAGTTACGCAGGAATGATTATGACGAAAGCTTAACCTCTGACACTTTTTTGGAGCAAAGCTACTCCTCCGCTTAAATTTCCTTAAATTTTATCGGAAGTTCTTGTATCTTGACGTTGGATGAAATACCGAATATACTGAAAAATCAGCAACCCTATAGCGATGACAGAAGCGTACAGTCCATGGACACGCATATGCACAGATAGCCTAGGACTTCCCTGGATTGCCTCCAATCTCCTTGGATTATCTTGAATCTCCTTGAATTATCTTTAATCCAGCAGTATAAAAAGATATCTTGAATTTTCTAGAATCGTCTCGAACCTGAACAGAAAATCTCCTTGTATAGCCTTGCATTTCCTTAAATCTTCTCGACTCACCCTGAATTGACCCAAATCTCCTTGAATTTTCTGATAAGCTCGGTCCTCCAGACGAGGGATCTCCTTGCCTACAATCTTGTTGCGTTATGTCTGATCTCGGTGGAATAAAAATACCCAATAATTTACCTAGAATATTCTCCAATAGGGACAGAACATCTCCTTGTACAGCCTTCGACATCCTTAAATTGTCTTAGATTGCCTTAATTATCCCGTCTACTAAACTCTTTCTTGAATTGCTCCAAAACGTCGTACCTCCTTAGTTTGCATACTGCCTTCTTGGATTATCTTATATTTTCTTGGGCCATCTCGAATCACCTTCCCGCTGGATAAAGAATCCCCTTAGATCGCCTTAAATCTCCTCCAGCTGGGTCATAATACTCGTATATCATTGCTTAGCGATGAATGTCCTTGGATCGAATCGAATTATCTTGACTTATCCTTGATTTGAAGTCTGGGAACCTCGGTTCTCATTGAATTGGCTCGAGACGTCAGATCTCCTTCGATAATGTCCTTTCGAGGCGACAAAAATATTCTTGAATTGCCTCTAGTCTCCTCGCACTAGAATAAAAAATCTTCTTGGGCCACCGTTTGACTTGCTTGAATGTTTGCGGAGCACCTTGGATTACCTGGTGTTCCCTTGCTGTCTGGACATCTCAGTTCTTCTTAATAAATAAATAAAAACGCCTTTATTTTAAACTCGGCGAAGGCCAGCTATGCTGTTAACTTAACCGAGCATGTAAAAAGTAACAACAAGCCAAAAAGAAAAGTAATATGACAAAAAACAAGTTTTACATTACATTAATTTTAGAATATTACATAACAACAATGAACAATAATAACAACAGATGTACGTATACAAAGAAAATAAGCAATAATAAACAACTTATACTTCACAGAAGCAGTTGTTTCAGTTTTCGTTTGAACATATTAGGAGACATATCTTCAAATTGACCTATATTATATTGGTTTAGAAGTTTGACTGATGTATAGGAAAATGAGCTTCGAGTCATGGTTTTAGTTATTTTAGGTATTTCATAAAGTACATTAAAGCGTGTTGCACGAGAGTGAATCAGATTTCTACGAGCTAATTTTTCAAACAGATATGGAGGGCTTTTAGTTTTAATCAATTTATGAAGAAAGCAAGCAAAATGCAGCTTTTCTCGATTGGAAACATTCAACCATTTCAGTTCGGAAAGTTTATGACTGACATGATCGTGACGTCTAAGCTGGTAAATAAGTCGTATGCAAGAATTCTGCACTTTTTGGAGTTTATCCTTAGAAAATACATCTAAGCAAGGACCATACACAAAGTTGCAATAGTTAAGGTGACACAAGACCAGTGCTTCGCAGAGAACCTTTTTTAACTTAAAACTAAGAATACCTTTACTTTTGTAAATATTGCGAACGTTAAAATAGACTTTTTGTAGAAGCCTAGACACATGACTTCGGAATCTAAGCTTGTTATTAAAGATAACGCCCAAATTTTTATATTCCTCAACAACCGGTATTGCCACACCATCCATTGCTATCATCAAGTTTACAGACGCCCAATCTTTAGCTGGCCCAAAGTAGATTATGGCTGATTTATTAGGATTCAATTTCAAGCCATGATTAAAAGAGTATTTGAAAACTGAATCCAAACACTCGTTTAGCCTCCTAGCCGCTTCAATTGCGTCCGACTTAACAAAAGAAAGCTGAATGTGTGTATCGTCAGCGTATCTACGATTGTTTATGTCACCAAAGCACTTCGACATATCAGCAGTAAAAATGATAAAAAATAAAGGACCCAAAAGTGATCCCTGAGGAACTCCTCTATCAACGTTCAAGGGTTTTGATTTAAGCCCATCAATTGAGACCGACTGCGATCTGTCATCCAAATAACTACGAATAAGTTGAATAGTCTTAAGTTTAAATCCATAGTACAAAAGTCTTGACTTGTCTTAGGACGTCGGATCTTGTTGGATTATCTCTGATTTGCTTAAACCATCGAAAATCTTCTGCTGAGTCAGAATATCTCTTAGGACAGCGGATGAATCACCCCCGACATCCTTGAACTTTCTAGGAATATCGGACCTAACTGATTTGCCCCAGGATGAATTTCCTTGGATTGATATAATTTATTGTTCCCCGCCTTGCGACTTTAACAAGCGAACAGCAACATAATAGAAAAAAGAAGTATATTGGTAGCAGAGTACCGGGTCAGCCGTTCATCATACTCGTTCCAAATATCCACTGCGTAACTGTTAACTTTATCCTTGGTCTGAACGGTGGCCTTGAGCTTCCACAACTTTCCCTCTCGCATTCACCCTTTCCGCAATCATACATTCTTCTCTTATATGCTTTGCACTTTTAATTCCTCTGCCACACTCATATTCACATTCACCGATTTCGGTCCTCAATCACATCGCGCGGCGGCATCATGGAAGAGAGCTCTGAGGAGCAAAGTCCGTTGGTGTAACGGTAGAAAAGAACTAACTGTCTGTTAGAGAAGAGTCATCGATCAGTCGAACCGCCTTCCTCTGGACAGAATCGAGTAGGGATAATGTAGTCGGAGCGGCAGCACCCCAAACGTGTCAGCAATACTCGAGGCTAGGCCTTATTGGGCCTTGTATAGAGTGAGAAGGTCATGCGGAGAAAAGTACTTCTTAGCACTAAACAAATAGCCTAGCTTTTTCTCAGAGGCTGCAGCTATTGACGAGATGTGTTCGTGCCAGAGGAGGTCCTCTGTGATCTGGACTCCGACCAGCCGAGATGAATGGCTCTTTGGCAGAACACGGCCACCCATCGAAACCGGGTGAGCGCTAGGACGCTTTTTGTTCTTCAAAGTACATAACTGTGTTTTGGAAGCATAGATTGTTGCGTCCCCAAGCAGTGATAGACTCCAGGTCTCTTGTCAGAGAGGAAGTCGTCGCTAGTCTTCTTTTTTCCAGCTCAGCGGCAGAGATCGGCTTGTCACTCTGAATTCCTGCATGTAGAGTGCTGTCATCAGCGAAGCTGTGGATTGGGTTAATCGTGTAGGAAAGGAGGTCATTGATATGTCAGAGGAACAGTGTCGGAGCCAAGACCGATCCCTGGGGAACACCCGCCTCGACGTTGTGGAGACGAGAACTCGTCAGTTGCGGCCAGAGATGAAGTCAGCCACCCATCTGCAAAGCTTCTCTGGGAGGCCATAGAATGGAAGTTTGCTTAAGACGTGCCACAGCTGATCGAATGCTTTCGTGATGTCAAGAGCAACGATATGAGCCTCACCATAAGACTGGATGAGTTTACACCAAACGCGTGACGTAAGCTAGGAGGTCCCCTGTGGATCCCCGGAAACCATACTGCATGTCGCTGATCAAGCTGTGACGTTCGAGGTAGTCCAGAAATCTCGCGATTTATGTACCTCTTCATCGCCTTACTTATAACAGAAAGCAGAGCTATGGGCATTTAGTTGTAAGGGTCTTAGATCCTTTTTTTAGGATTGGTTGAACATGAGCTAATTTTCAGTTTTCTGGGAAGGTGCCGGATTCAAAGATATCTGGAAGAGACGCGAAAGAACTGGAGCCAGGTCCGCTGCACACCTCTCCAGTACAATGGCAGGAATCAACTCCGGGCCATGCCCTAAAGCTCAGATCCAGCCTGTCTTCTCCGAACTCTCTGCACACTTCATGTGCTGCCGTCCTGTCACTACTTGATCTTTCATTATAATCCCTCTTGTCGTACGATTATGCAATCTTCCATCCGATCTCCTGTTTTTCTCCTCCAAATTTTGCGTTACCGTCCTCTTTAATCATTTCTACATCCTGGATTATTCTAACCCATATAATCCTCACTTTCTACACCTAGTTCTCCCATATACCCAATCACTTGTCTCACTTTCACCCTGATCTTACCTGTCATCCCTGGTCCATTTATGCATCTCCATTTTAGATCTTCTTCCGGTGGGAAAAAATATCCTTGAGTTGCCTCTAAGAGCCTCGAACTAGTAAAGAAAGTCTCCTTGGACAGCCTTTTGACTTCGTTGAATCGTTTCGCAGCACCTTGAATTACCCGGGATCCCCTTATTGCCTGATAACCTCGGTTCTTCTTGAACTTACTTGGGGCGTCATATCTCCTTGTATTGCCAACAATTTAGTTAGATTATTTTGGATTTCCTTGGATCACCAACTCGAATCTTCTTCCAGCGGAATACAAGATCCGCTTGTATTGTCTTGGACTTCGTAAGACATAAAATCTCCTTGGACAGCCTTGGATGTCATTAAATCGTCTCGCCTCGCCTTGAAATTGGTGGTGAGAGTACCTGGAAAAGTCCGAAACTGCACGCATGCGCAGATCGCGCGCTAGCTCTACCTCTCTTACTCCCCTACAGAGGATCTATTAGCGAATTTATCAACCCTGGCGGTATTAATAAAGATAATTTATAACTGTTAGAATATCCTTAGTGGCCTGAGCCAAAGCAAAATAGCATCCAGGGAAACCTCAGTCAAAACCGAATGTGCTCTCGTCTCAGAGCAATGACAATCTGTAGCGAGACAAGCGTTTTCTTCTCTATAGATCACCCGCAGATGTCGTCTGCCAACCTAAATGCCTGTATGCAAACTGCTGTCATCCGTGATT